GGTTTGTGTTTTTGTGTTTATTAATGTGTGTTGTTGAATTCGTTATTAGGAAAGTCATGACTCATGTTTGAGCTCGGCTATTCCGAAGGTAACATGTTTAACGTCATGTTCTCGTTATTGCGGACTTAGTTATTAAGACGCAATGTTCATTTATCCTTAGCGATCCGTTTTCGGAAGTTAAGGTTGTTCGGTCTCATTTTAGTAATCTTTAGTGATCCGGTTCGGAGGTTAGTAATCTTTAGTGATCCGGTTCGGAGGCTAGAGGTTTGTAGTGATAATATTTCAATTTGCTTTGTCTATTTTATTAGCGTATTTACAATTAATCCCAACAATCCTTTGATTAGAATGTTTAGGAATTTATTTTTTTATTTTTTTGGTCTTGTGAAATTGACGACTAAATAGTAAACGACGCTCCGAACAGTCTTCCTTTGAGAACGACCCGAGTCCGGATAGCTCGGTTACTAATTTATCCACTCACAAAAATATTGCAAACACATTCACACCCTAGTACATACCAAAATTAAGTTAAATTAATAGATAAATTTTGTAAATCCTAAAGTTCGACCAGCAGCTTCTCACATCTGTACAATAGATAAGTCCGAGTAAGAGACACATAATTACCGTTATTCCAGTCGGAGCTTTCTGGCACTTCCGCAGACCGGAGAACACTGTGCTTCTTCTTCAAGCAGCGTCGGGCAGATTTCTTCTAGCAGCTTTAGAACTTGTTTTGGGGCTAGGGTTATTGCGTACGTGATTCTGAGTTGTTTTCTGGCCAAAAGTACTCTTTTATAGGGGTAAAAATGTAATTATTGGAGTGAGGAAGGTTAAAGTAGTCCGAAAATAAAAAATATAAGGACACATAAGTCATTTACTTTTTCAGTATAAATGTTATTCCACCAAAAAAAGTCAGGATGCATTTATCCCAGTTTCATGGGATTAATTGCTTTTTCATCTCGGGCCTCCGCTTAAAACCGAGCATGAATCATGCGTAGCAAGCGTGAGATTAGTTAGGAATAAGCCAGAATATCCTGACCTATCCCATCAAACAAACAAGAACGTAGTTATCTTACTTTATCCAATCGTCCACTCGTCCACTAAAGTAAACGAGGCCTTATACATCTAGTATTGCCCTAAAGTCTTTTTGTATGATATCTTACAAGAAAAACGGAAAGCCCCCAAAACCTTTTTTCCATGTATCATGTGGTAATGATACATGCCAGCTCTGCCCAGATCATAAAAACATGATCAACAAAATAATCGACTTATTATATGAAGCAAAACTTTGTTCGAAAAGTACAAACAAGTATAGAGTTTGAAGCCCAGCCATCGACGAGAGGGGTTTCACAAATGGCCACAAAGTTGATCCAATCACCAATCCCAGCTTCCCACGTGTTCCTTCTGAGACCCATTACCAGCAGCAATAAGAAGACGATGAAACTCGACACTCCATTGAACTCCATTAATGCCATCAAATTAGGATTTTGCTCCCATTATTCTTCATTTCCTTATTTCAAACCCGCCGCCCAAAACAGCTCCGAGGTGGTAATAACAGAAGAAGAAGAACCTACAGAAAGATGGACTCTTGCCCAAATCAAACATCATCTTTTTGGTGCCCTTCAAGGTTAATTATACAATAATCTGCTTTCTTGGGTCGTTTTTTATTTTTCAAATTTTCGTTAAAAAAAAAAATGCCTTAAACAGGTATCACGAACAGAGGCATATTTGGAGTCCCATCTGCAAAGAAATCTGAAATTGAAAAGGCGGTCCAGCTTTTGGAGTCTCAAAATCCCACTCCTGAACCCACCCAGTCTTTAGAAAAGGTGGGTTCTCTCTCTCTCTCTCTGTGTGTGTGTGTGTGTGTGTGTGTGTGTGTGTGTGTGTGTGTGTGTGTTTGGGTATTCATGATCAATATTTTGTTTTTTTGGCTAATGTTTGTTAATGTCTTAGGTTGGTGGAGCTTGGAAGCTGATTTACAGCACAATTACAGTTTTGGGATCTAAAAGGACTAAGTTAGGACTAAGGGATTTTATTACCTTGGAGGATATTTTCCAGATTATTAATGTTGCTGAGGTAAGTTCATATCACTGCACATTGTATCATTGATTTGTGAAGTACATTTTGTTTTTTTTTTT